GGGATTTTAGGGGGACACTGACCTGGAGCAGGTGGGGTTTGGTCATTTTGTGGTCATTTCTTAATCAACCCAGATCATCCCAAATCACGGCTTGTACTCCATCCTGTTAAAATCGATCAATTGCAAATTATTAATCAATTTTCAATATAAAAATTAATTAATTGTGCCCCCTTTAGCTGCTCTCAGTGGTCGCATAGCATCAGGGTCCCTCAGCCATATGCTTGTCATTGTCACTCCTCACTGAACAGCGAAAAAATGAGGGAGGGACCCCAAAATTTAAAGATCAAAATCCCAAATTTTGGGATTGGCGCCACAGAAAAGGGACACAAAAAAGAGGCTCACCTGGGATGGARCCKTGGGGAGGCTTYGGGTGRYGCTTCMACGCCTTGAAAATGARAAAAAAAAAATTRAAGGGTGATTTAMGGACAAAATAACATAAAGATTAAAGTTTACATCCCACAGGAGCTGAACGTGTTTAAAGAGGGTTTCACGTGGTCTCCACGTGGGTCCAAAATCCCTCCCCAAAATGGATTTGGAGCCCCCAACTCGTGCCAGTGCCACTCAGAGAATATTTAAGGTGATTCTTCACGGTTTTATCAGTAAGAGAGAGTTCAGGGTGATCATCCCCGCAGCACTGCCCTCAAAATGCAGCTTTTTAACCTTAAAAAGGCGGGTTTAACACTCACCTCAGGAACAGGACCCATTTCGTGAGACTGAAAATGAACAAAAGAAAAAGGCGTTAGATACAAAAATGGAAATGTGGGACCAGCAAGCTCCAAGCCGGGACAGGACGAGCCCTCAGAGAACTCTTTAATCTTCAGTGCAAGATCAGCACAGGTCTGTGAGAGACTCATCCCCGAGCAGCGCCCTCATGCTCCGGATTCCCCTGGGGAAGGCGCCGCTTCCTCATAAACGCCCTCAGCGGGGCACAAAATGACCACTGAACGGTACAGGGGATGCTCCGAACGGCCTCATCTCGACCCGAAAAAGGCGAAAGCGGCTGCCGAGGCCGCAGCCCGAACCCACCACAAACACTCACCTTCCGCTACCGGCGCCGGTACAAAATGGCCGCTCTGTCCCCTCACGCAGGCTTAAATAGAACGCGGAGGATGCCGGGAAGGGGGCGGGGCGAACGCGCCGAAAGCGCGAAAAACGGCGCGAAAGGAACCTGAGCCCCGCCTCTCCCGCTCGGAATTGTTCGGGTGTTTCCGATCCCGTTCGGCTCCCTCCGCCCCGCCTCTCCCCCCTCGGAATCGCTCGGCTGTTTCCGATCCCGCCCCGCTCTCTCCACCCCGCCTCTCCCGCTCGAAATCGCTCGGGTTTCCGATCCCGTTCGGCTCCCTCCGCCCCGCCTCTCCCCCTCAGTGTTGTTCGGGTGTTTCCGATCTCGCTCGGCTCTTTCCGCCACCCCCACAGAACCCCACTGTCCAGACAGCGTCTTCTTATTACCCGACCCCCCAATTAACACTTATTAACTCCTCTTTCTAATTCCCACTCATTAACCCCTCAAAACACTTCAAAATCCCCCATAAAAGCATCAGAAGAAACCCCAAAAAAGCAGCGAAAAAAGCTCAGAAAGCCCCGAAATTGCGGGAATTGGCTCCAAATTTCTTTATTGGGGTTCAGGAGTTGGCGTTGGGGCCCTTTTTCTTGCCGAAGGTGGGCACAACGTTGACGAAGCGTCGGTTGTACTGCATGCGCCGCTTGGCCCGCCCCGTCTTCTTCTTCTT